CACATAAAATAACAAGGTCATTTGTACATCCTTCACTGTTGAAAACTGCCCTGTATAGTGTGTGAAATAAAGAGAAGGATGTCTTCTAATGTGTGTGTTTCTTCATGTTCTTGCATGTTTTCTAATAAAACAATTTTATAAACAGACCTCACTACCATTCTAAGTAAGTATTTTGCTAGCCTGGTCCAGACCTCTGAAAAGCAATAACATCTCAAATTTTGTTGGGATTCAAAGGCCTTTCATGAACGGTTGTGTTTGCGGATGGAGAAACAACTAAGCCATTCAATGCCTTTGTAGGTATGATGATGTTCACAACCTCAGTCCAACGAAGCCATGGCCAGAACCCAAAGAAATATGGCAACGAGCATGGATGAAAACTGCATAGCTAGAGAGGCAGCACTGAAGGTATTTCTGTAAGTCAAATATTATTTTTCTCATTCTACTGAAAGATTCTGGGACAGGTTTTATTTATTTGTTGGCCCTTTCTGGTACTTACTGACCAGTAAGATTTAACAGAACACTATGTAAAAGATGCTGAGAGACTTAGCTAAGAGTGCACAATATCAATCAGATAGAAAAGTGTTAAGCAGATTCTCTGTCAACTGAAATTTATGCTCATGGCAATACCCGGCAATATCTAGTGCTCTGCAGCTGAGAGGACACATTAACTGTGTTGCTATGCAGCTGTATGGAACTCATGTGGTCTGACCACTGCCAATGTCAGAACAGAGTTAATAGTCCTGTATGCTTCGTTAGCAGCTTTTAAGTAGGGGTGTGTGATATTGACAAAAAATTACGTATATGTAGATATGTTCTGGGATTTTGTTGATAACAGTAAGTAGACAATATTCTCAAGTCATCTTTTGAGCATTATCCCTCTTTTCAAAGCCAAACTACATCCATGCAAGTGAGGCTAATCCAAATCTAGCAATGAGACTGAACAGCGTTGACTTCAGAGCTGGTGGTGTGTGTATTTTGTATCCTATTGTTGTTGTTTTTTTTTCACTGTTTTAACGTTTCTAATACATTTTTAGGCAGCTACACTAGTTTAACTTGTGATACAGGGATCACGTACCTCATGTACACACTGTGTGCACTCTCAGTGTGCACACACAGCAGTCTGTCCTACTAGGCTACATGATGCAGTGAATGTGTGGAATTTCAAAGCTTGTTTTTGATAAATTAAGTGACATACTCAATAAGGTCAGCTCACACATCATTAAAACAACAAATAAAAAATTATATATATGTATACTGTATGTATATATTCAATAGCTGTCCCTGGTAGGCTAGTGGTTAAGGCGCAGCGGGTTCAAATCAGGGTTGCGTCAGGAAGGGCATCCGGCGTAAAACACGTGCCAAATGTCAACATGCGAGTCATCAGTGTGACGAAAACAAGAAGAAGAAAGAAGATAAACCCCATGGAACCACATAACCAACTAAGCTTCCTGAAGACAGTAAGATTAAGATAAGAACAACAGAACAACTTGGTTAAGGTTGGGGGATGACTATGGTCAGGGCCATAGTCACAAGGTTCCACTAAGGTTAGTCCAAGTAAGTATTTGACCCCCTGCCAGTCTGCCTACCGGTCTGCGCTGCCTCTGGTTGGTGGAGCCTGTAGGAGTACACCAGTCCAGCAGCTCCTCTATTTCCCTCAAAAGCTGCTGAGCCTCTGACAACACTAAAATAAAATTGACACAAAAACGTTGTAGCAGTCCCTACATCTACCCTCCACAATATATTTGTATATTGTGTATTGCAGCACTCCTGCATACATGAAAATCTCAATTCCAGGGAACACCAAACACACTGACAAATCAGATTTTGACAAAACTATTATAAATACAGTGGTGTGAAAAAGTGTTTGCCCCCTTACTGATTTCTTATCTTTTTGCATGTTTGTCACACTGTAATGTTTCAGATCGTCAAACAAAGTTATATATTAGTCAAAGATAACACAAGTAAACACATCATGCAGTTTTTAAATGAAGGTTTTTATTATTAAGGGAAAACAAAATCCAAAACTATAGATCCCTGTGTGAACAAGTGTTTGCCCCCCTGTCAAAACACTGGTTTATCGCACCTGAGTTCAATTTCTCTTGCCACACCTGTTCGCAATCAAGAAATCACTTAAATAGGACCTGCCTGACAAAGTGAAGTAGACCAAAAGATCCTCAAAAGCTAGACATCATGCCGAGATCCAAAGAAATTCAAAAACAAATGAGAAAGAGAATAATGGAGCTCTATCAGTCCGGAAAAGGTTATAAAGCCATTTCTAAAGCTTGGGGACTGCAGACAGCAGAATTCATGGTTCCACTTATCACAGCATGTCTTCCAGGGCCTGAAGCAGCAAAACAGCCCCAGACCATCCCACTACCACCACCATATTTTACTGTTGGTATGATGTTCTTTTTCTGAAATGCGGTGTTACTTTTACGCCACACATAATGGGACACACACCTTCCAAAAAGTTCAACTTTTGTCTCGTCTGTCCACAGAGTATTATCCCAAAAGTCTTGGGGATCATCAAGATGTTTTCTGGCAAAACTGAGACGAGCCTTTATGTTCTTTTTGCTCAGCAGTGGTTTTCGTCTTGGAACTCTGCCATGCAAACCATTTTTGCCCAGTCTCTTTCTTATGGTGGAGTCATGAACACTCAGCTTAACTGAGGCAAGTGAGGCCTGCAGTTCTTTGGATGTTGTTGTGGGGTCTTTTGTGACCTCTTGGATGAGTTGTCGCTGCGCTCTTGGGGTAATTTTGGTCGGCTGGCCACTCCTGGGAAGGTTCTCCACTGTTCCATGTTTTCGCCATTTGTGGATAATGGCTCTCACTGTGGTTCGCTGCAGTCCCCAAGCTTTAGAAATGGCTTTATAACCTTTTCCGGACTGATAGAGCTCCATTATTCTCTTTCTCATTTGTTTTTGAATTTCTTTGGATCTCGGCATGATGTCTAGCTTTTGAGGATCTTTTGGTCTACTTCACTTTGTCAGGCAGGTCCTATTTAAGTGATTTCTTGATTGCGAACAGGTGTGGCAAGAGAAATTGAACTCAGGTGCGATAAACCAGTGTTTTGACAGGGGGGCAAACACTTGTTCACACAGGGCTCTATAGTTTTGGATTTTGTTTTCCCTTAATAATAAAAACCTTCATTTAAAAACTGCATGATGTGTTTACTTGTGTTATCTTTGACTAATATATAAATTTGTTTGACGATCTGAAACATTACAGTGTGACAAACATGCAAAAAGATAAGAAATCAGTAAGGGGGCAAACACTTTTTCACACCACTGTATAAACACAAAACTATTAACATACAATACTTCAAGATGTACCAAAATGCCACTTGCATTACATGTTGGTTCATACTGGAAAGTCTGAAATGAATAACAATTAAAAATAGCAAAAGATGTGGATTGATGGTATCAGGAAAAGGAACACAGTTTGTAAATGCATAGAGGCTTCAGAAAGTATTGGTTGGAATTCTTATGTAAGCCTATCAGCATATCCTAAAGATAGCACTACAACAAAATCAAGTCCAGAAAAAAATGTATATTTGTTACACAAATGATGGTTAAAATGATGGTCTCTTAATGTCATTAACTATAACCACATTAACCTCAAATTGAGCCTGATGTTACAATATACCTAATTAGACAAAAATGTTGGATATCTATAAATTTATAAAATAGTTATTTTGTTACAATAGCAATGCCGTCCCTGGTAGGCTAGTGGTTAAGGCGCAGCTTCGATGATGCATTGCTATTCGAAGCAATGCATCATTCCTCTGAAAGACTAAGGACAAAACTAATTTTAAAAAAATCATATATAAACTATGTCTGTCACTGTCAAATGAGTAAAAATGCGTTAGTCCCATCAGTTGTGCTAATGTATTTATATACTCACATTCACGCGTCTTCAAGAGGCAGCTCTCTGGTTCCTCTTCACACGCCATGTCAATGATCTTTGCAGATTTTTTTTCACAGCCACGACCCGGTGTTTACCCTCTATTTCACACTTTTGACTATTGTGACATACCGTATGTAACCTAGTATTTATTAACTTATACTATACATTACTGTTATTTTGCTGTCTCTTAAACTTGTAAGTTACAAGTTAATTGTTAGGATAAGTGCTGCCTTTTAAACCCAGATAGCATTATTTTAATAAACAGATTTACTAAAACTACTGCTTTAAAGTCACTGTGAAAAAGAATTACATAGAAATGCAAACGTAACGTTAGAACTAACGTTAATGAATGCTCTTATGGTGATTAAGTTAGCTTAGCGTTAGCCATGTAGCTAATAGTAGCTAGCTACCTGACAAACCCTGTTTTATTATATTAAAATGTTATGAAAGACTCTTGTGTGAGTTATGAGTTGAGTATGTTATATTTAGTTTTATGTCATTCAGAAATAGCCTAAACTTGGTGTCATGAAGCTCACAGAGAATTTCATTTGTGACTTCGTGAAGGGTTTTATTTGAACATCCATTCGGAGCACTGCTTCAACAACTCACTAACATGGGCTTTTTCGCGTACCTTGCTATTCAAGCATATACCAGCCCACAGTGACACCCTGTGGGCCTACACAATCATCACACTAGGTTAGCTTCTACTGCCACGATTTCAGCTCACTGTCCTTCAGCGAAGACAATGGCCAAGTAGCTAACGTTAGCTAGGTATTAGTGCCACTAAAGTAACGACATCCTTTTATAAGATATAAAGACTGAGCCAGTTGAATTTAATTTTAAACTACCCACTGAAACAGCTATGTTTTTCAGTGAGTCAGTTTTTTGCCTTTTTAACTGCTTTTTAATCCACCTCCTGTTTTATATATTGATATTATAAAATGGCCGCTACATTACATATCTGAATTATTGCCACACACATTTCTACCTCCGAATGTTTATGGATGTTATATACAGTACTATTGCTATTCACATCGTGCTTTTATTTTGAAAGTTCAACAGTCAAGTGACTCCCGGAAGTTTTTATTTCCTCACCTGTCAATTCTGATACCGTGTGAGTGTCCAGTCTCGTCTCTTTGTTTTTCTGCGAGAAACCGGTCTCCTTTATTCAAGAATAAATGATAATCCTGTGTGTTTAACTGACAGCTAATTGAGGATATCATCTAACACGGTTAGTGAAAGTCAAGAGTGAAAAAATAATCGATTGTTTTAGCTTCACCTAGCCTAAAATAGCCAGAAGACGCTAGCTAAGAGCTAGCTAACTGTTATCATCATAACAGATCGGCCATTCTTAACCTTGTAGCAAGTAATATATATTTTACATTTCTCTGGGTCATTGTCTGCCGATTGCATTGCTCTTTCAGTAACCTACTTATGGAAATTCCTTCAGTGTGGTTTGTCAGTTGTCAACAGAGCTCACGGAAGCTAACACCTTAACGTTAGCATCGCATACAGCCGAGATTCGTTGATTGTTTAACGTTAGATCCAGATTATGGCTACTTTTCATTGTCACTTTGTACGAAATAATGTATCTTTGCAGTAACTACCCTAGTTAGCTCTTTTGTTTTATAGACTATGACGTTGCTTTCTGTGTCTTGTGTTGGATTCACGTTTACTTTCGTTTTAAGTAATTGCGATGTCACTTTAAATTTCATACCCTTATCTGAAGTCGTCCGTGAAAATCAACGGCTCTGCGTTTGTGTCTCTACATAGTTTATATCCATTTTAAGGACCTAACAACCTGTCTAGTTATTCTGCCGAAACTTGCGTATTTTTCAGAATTAAAACTTGGCTCCTCAGTGTTTGCTGCATCATTGCATGCTGACATCATCGACAGCATTAGCGACACTGTCTCTGCTGGGGAGCTGCTCTAGACAGAAAAATACAGTCATCGGCCACTTTATTAAGTTAAGTTTTTCCTAATATTCTGACCCTCTCATGTGTGCAGCTTTGGAGGACAAAGATATAGAGACAGCTCTGAATATAATGTAGTCCAGTACAACACCACCTTTAACTTTGACCTCAATAATGAACATATATTTGAATTTATACATTTATGACAATTTCACCAAAAGCTGAAACATTTTGAGCTTCAAAATTACAGATGTTAAGGCAGAAGTGTTGCATTGAATTGCACACAATTGTACAGGTGTACCTAATAAAGTGGCCAGTGAATGTGTCATGAGTTTAGGTTATGTCTGATAGAGATAGCTTGAATGGACTGCTTAAATTCTTGCTAAGGGTCAGTGGGACTATTTCACGTTTCTATAACAACAGTCTACTATACAGGTTAATGTGAGACCCTTTACTCCTCTGTACCTGTGCTCAGTCAGTTTCCATTTGTATTTACACAGCAGCTTTGTAGATTTCACACAGACACTTATGCACAGTTTGGCATTTTATTATGTACACCTATCTAAAATTAATGCAGTTTAATACAACGATCCTGCAATAATTCCTGCTTTTATGAAGGTGATAATGTTGTTTTTGTTGAAACTGTTTTAGAGAGGTGTTGATTCAACTGTATGATAATTTTGTAGGCTGCAGTTTCTGGTGCTGTTGAATTGTATTCCATTATAATGGCACATGTATTTATTATTTTGCCCACCCCATTTATGTCAGTGAGGCTGGGCTAAGTAACAGAAATACCTCTTTGTATAATGAGGTGCACTTGAACAGCAGCACAATCGACAACCTTTAAGCATTATGCTGGACTTTGTGTTTACCTGCCTTTGCACCTCATTTCATTTGTGTGCCATGGTGAAGCATGGTTTTCTAAATACTTTTACAATAAACCTGTTTCTCTCCCAGAAATTATTTATTTATTTTTCTGTTAAATTCTTTGTGGATCCTCCACACATTTGTTGGTCTCAGTACGTCATCTCAGGTAACCTCTTTATTTGTGAAAATGTCTCTTGCGCAGAGGAAGTGATACATTGTACACTTCCTGCAGCAGTGGTTTGTATGAAAGGAATAGAAGCTGAATACATCTAAGTTCTCTTAGTCGCGTCTTTGTTTCCCTCACTTGCTTCTTAGTTCCTCACACTGAAGACGTGAGGAGACTTGCAGGAAAAAGTGTGAGGAGATATGTTAATAATGAAATGAAAGGTACTTTCCTGATGTAGGCAGCTACCACTGGATCAGATGTCAGATTTTAAAGCTCCATGGAAACATTTATTGGGTTGGAGTTTGTATTTTGTCATATACATAGTAATGGTGCTTAGACACGAAATGCACATTAATACTGGCAGCATTTGTTAATTCATTTTTTGAAAAAGTATTTGTTTATGTTCTTTTTGTAAATTCATCATGCAACAATCCAGGTTTAGAATATTTTATACTATTTTGGTAGACATTGTTTATTAGCCTGAATGATTTAGACTGTTTCTAACTATATTTCTGCCTGATGAGCAGGGATTTTCAGCCTCAAATGTGACTGAATGGAAATAATAATAAAAATAAAATTAAAATGTCATCAGCTTAACAAAGTTACAGCCTTGGGGCACTGTACGATTGCAGAGTGACTTGTAAAATATGTAGTGGAAATGTAGCAATGGTGATGTATCCCCAAAGATGTCCAAATAAATGCGCAGATCAAATGTGATAAGATGTTTTATGATAAATGTTTCTAATTTAAGTTCAGTAACCAGATGTTATTTCATTTGAGCCAGCAGTCATTGTTTTGTGTTTAGCTTTTCCAGAAAAAAAAAAACAAAAAAAAAAACAACAGATTTATCACTTTGATAATGAAACTCTTCATATAATTCCCAGGTTTCCTATCTGTTACAGAGAAGGCCTATGCAGGCATGGAGCCCCTAGCAGTGGATGATGACATCTGTATCCTCAAACATGAGACAGCTTATACTGCTGCTGGTGAGAGCCCTGTATCGGTGTGTGCTGGTGACGAATCTGTTGCTTCCCACTTCGCCTTGGTCACAGCGTATGAGGACATCAAGAAGAGGCTGAGAGACACAGAACGAGAGAATACCTTGCTTAGGAAAAGGGTTAAGCAGCTGGAGGATAAGGTAAATGAGCAGTAAGTGGTATAATAGCATGAAAAGAATAAAATAAAAGGGCATACTGCTTATCCTGATGTGTACAGACACAGAGAAATGAAGAGGGGTTTTTTTTTCAATTTTCCAGGACATTGGAATTATGGACAAATACAAAAACAATTAGATAAAATGAGAAATAGACCTGCTCTGCCTAAAAACAGAGAGGAGGTTTTGAAATAATGGCATTGCCTAACAATGCACTGGAGCCCTACACATTTGGGGAGAAGGCTCCTGAAACTGGATTTAAAAAAAAGGATCCACTACAATCCAGAGAGAGATATTTAAACAGCAAGGCTGTTAATACAGATGATAGAGTGAACATGAAAATTATGTTTGGATTTGTGTGCTGCAAAATTTGGCCCATCAACATAGGATGTGGTGGAACATAACTTCCTACCACAAATATTTCAATTAAAAGAAAGTGACCTCTCTCTTTCTCTTCTGTGTTTTATCTGTCACCACTGTAGCACTTCAGGCCGGATGCACCTCCATCAGAGGGTCCCCAGTATGTGAACAAGGCCTTCAGTGCGTACCGAGGTATCTATATAGAGAAGGAGGATCTGCAGATGGAGCTTAACAAACTGGTGCGTTTACTGATTAAATTGTACCTCAAACTCACACTAGAGTCTTTCATAAAGATCAAGTATGTTGCAAACCTGAAAACACTGCATATTTTTTGAGTCTACAGAGTTTTTTGTAACTGATTTTAATTTCATGTGTGCTTTTGATATTATTAAACAAGTACAGTGCAATAGTATCTCACAGTACCTGGGACTAGAAGAGAGAGTTAGCTGCAGTGATATGAATGCTGACTATTCCTATATGCTGCATTTCCCCTCTCAGAACCTAACCATACTGCATAACCTCCCGGGTTGACGTGGACCGTCCTGCTTTGGTTTTCCATTGTATTTTCTCTGTGTTGGGTCTCTGTCTAAAGGAGGAAGGGGCTGCGCCCTTCTCACACATGCAGTCAGCTGAGGAGAGGGAGAACAGACATGACTCCATAGTGCAACAGTCAGCCAGTAACAGACTGTAGTAGCAGTTTGGCAAACAGCTGCTGGACACTGAAGTCCCCGTTTTGCCTCTAAACCAATAAGTGAAGTCCTCATTTTACCTCTAAACCAGTAGAAGTGCCCCTTTGCACACTGTGCTTGTAAACCTAATGGTTAAGGTGTGAAGAGCAGACATTTAACCAGTCATGAGCAAAAGCCCAACCCCTTCCCCCCCCCCCCCCATGTTCCTGGAACTTGGTTTTAGTACTACCTCCTGTGGGGTGCTGAAATGTAGCTCCCAGAGCACACCTCTAAAGAAGGTGTACCGCAGTAGAAACAAACACAGAACTCGTAATGAGCACTAATTGGCTCGACACCTTTCGGTAGGTTCCTATAATGGAAAAACCCCTTTATTCTCCTCTCCCACTTCCTCACAGTCTCCTCTCGATTCTCTGTCAGAAAAAGGAGAAGAGTGAGAGTGAGAGGTTGCTGACGGAGCAGCTCCAGGCCAAAGAGCTGGAGCTACTTCAGCTGAGGACGGAAATGGAGACCAGCCAAGGTACAGTTAGAGCACATAAGCCTGTTTCTGCTCTGCATAACTCTGTATGAATGTAGCTGAACAGTACTTTAAACTAGCAATAATGCAACTGTCTGTTTTGATACACACACACACACACAAAATAATAAAGATTTGCTATACTTGTTATATGTTAATTTAAATTCAGGACCTTTACTCATAATAGGGCATTTTTACACAGTTGTATTTCTTCTTTAGTTATATACTGGATCTAAGCACCTCTTCCAGCACTGTGTAAAGCCATACATTAGCTTTGCATTTTAAATCTATTGCTCTTTATTTAACAGTTTTACTTTATATTATCAAATAATTGACTGTGCTAATATAAATGTCACAGTGGCTGAAATGATAATCATGGAAAACATCACATTTTCAAGTTCAGAGGTTCTACAGACAATCTTTGCATTTAACATATATTTACACATCAGCAATGACAGTAATTTATTTTTGTGTGTGTACATGTGTGTGTAGTGATGAAGAGCCTGAACAGCCCTCAGGACTACTGGCAGGTGGACAGGGTTAGCACTGAGCTAAAGATCCTCAAACTACAGGAGGAGCTGGACAAGGTGATGCTGGAAAATAGCAGACTACTGGAGAAAAGTGGGGTAAGTGGAGATTGGTGGGAGTGGGACATGAATTATGGTATAATAAGAAATTATAAAAAATATTTAAAAACAACTATGGCAACGCCCAGACTCTCTCTGTTTTAGGAGGAACCCTGTGGCCTTAATGGACCAGACTTGGACCAGACCTGTGATGCAAAGTATAATGCAAGGTATAGTGTTTTATGAATATTATTGAAAAGTGGTTGTCAATTCAGCATCCATTCCTCATCAGTCTGCTCTGGCTAAAGCACCAGAAGGATCCTAAAACATTTATAAGAAAGATACAAGAACAGCAATGGCATGTGAGAGGCTTGACAGGTCAGACAGGTGTGCTGGCCTTGTACTTTTATAGTGCTTTTCTACACACTGATGTGCATTCAAAGCCCTTTATGCTATTTCTCATTCACCCACTCACACATAAGTACATCACACACTGGTGGCATTGATTGTAGTTGTCCTCTTTGGCCACTAGAGGATGGTGCAGCTTTAAACATTTTAACTCTGTCTGCATAACAGCCTATGATATGCAGAAACAATTGAACCTCATATCTGATCAGTGGCTGCTAAACCGTTAACACTTGCCAATAGTTTAAAATTGTATTCAAGTATTTTGATGTGTGTAAGCTCTGTGGCATTTATAATCACCCACCACCTACTTTTCAGTGAAAGAATTCCCTGTCGATTAGCACTGACTTAGATTTCATAAAGAAACTTCTTTTTTGTGGTGAATTATAATCCATTAGCAGTTTTCAGGTGGAGTTATTTGTAGCAGTACAGAAAGCTTTAGTTTTTCCTTACAGTTTTACTTTTATAAAATTGTTTCAGGCAGGTGTTGGAGGTTAAAACACAAAGTGTCAGTGAGACTTTGCATTTTTATCCCAGGTGTGAACAGGGCAGTTAGTAACTTTTGCTACTCTGAGACATCTTTAGCATCAACACAGTCTGTCCTTTCTGTCAAAAATGGCATTGTTAATGCATCAAGTAATATTGAACTTGTGCTGTTAAGTGAATAAGCCGTCCCTGGTAGTGGTTAAGGCGCAGCGCTCTCGCCGCTGTGGCCCGGGTTCGAATCAGGGTTGCGTCAGGAAGGACATCCGGTGTAAAACACGTGCTAAATGTCAACATGCGAGTCGTCAGTGTGACGATTCGCTGTGGCGACCCCTAAACAGGAAAAGCCGAAAGTGACTTTGCTGTTAAGTGAATAAGCTCAACACCAGTGAAACACCTCTATGGTCTGACCTCAGGTAGTGACCGTGTCAGCAAAGAAATGATACATATTGCAGAATTAAAGTTATAACAGATAAGTCATGTCTACATTTTGGCCATTAGATTAGGCTTCTGTGATTATGTATCCTAATAGTTTGGGCCAAGTTCATGGCTTATATCTTTTTTCAACAGGTGAAAATTGATCATTACTTGAACTTAAGAACAGGGTAATTGCTCAAAATATTTTCCTTTTTGAGTATGTACAAAATTACGAAATACAGCTTATGATCTTTGCAACATGAGATCATGTTTAACAGCTGAATGTTTTTAACAACACATGCTGCTTATGGAAGCAGAAATGCCTTAAAAATCATGTTAAAGTAAAGTGTTGTATTGATCTGTAGCGAGAGGAGCATGCAGCAGATGTACCAGGCTCTGCTTTGTGAGGTCACTCGTCTCCATTCAGAGCTGAAACACCAAAAAGGCCTGATCAGGAAACTCGGGCCACTGATCAGTGAGACAAGGCAAGGTGAGGCACACACACACATATGTGGGGATGCTCAGGGTTGTTTCATTGTTGATAGTATAGTTTAATGCAAATAATTTTTTTTTTTTATTCTTAAAGTTTGAAAATCACATGGCTGACCACAGAGACAGACATTGCAGCATGACTGCCTTTTTCAGTGTAGTCAACTTACACCACACAATCAATAAAGGTGACACTGATAACAGTACTTACTGCTGACTCATGTCACTCAAGACAAGCACAGCGCTACACACGACTAACATACATACATTATAAAATACATCTACCTACAGATTACATTTGTACACCTAATACAAATAAAGGTTCTCAACATCTGAACTGTAAACACAACCTGTCATATACAGTCCAAGATAGTACAAAAAAACCTTAGAAAAGATTTTAAATTCAATTATTCCTTTATCTCATTTGTACATTTAATCCTGCTACTGAAACACCTACGTGTACCTGTGTAAAACCTTAAGTAGGACTGTGCATTAATGTGATTGTAACTTTACTTTTGCATTACTAGGTTAAGACTGTTGCACATCTGGCCAAATACAGATGTACTCCCTCAAATTAAATGTAAAGAGAGAGTGTGAAAACAGAAACATATGCACATACAACATATTTAACCAATCTGACATTAGAATATGTGTCTCAGGTAGAATCATATATACAGTTCATGTGCACTTTTAGTTGTAACACCTAGAATTTAAAGCTCACTTCTCTACACAGGAGCTAATGTAGCTAACATCTATCTACTACTGCCTCTGCTCATTTAAGGGAAGGCTTTTCCAAAGAAATACAACTCACTGAGAAGTTTTCTCCTGCTGTTTCCTTGTTGCAATTCATATAAGGGTGTGATAAGACTCTAGATATTATTTTAGTACTCACTTTGATAAAGGACATCATGAAATGGTCTTTGCTTCTTCTCACCTCTCTCTGTGATGATGTATTCTGGCCTAGGAGAGATTACCTCTGTTGTTGATTCCCTCTGTGTCAGAAGAGGAGACCAAGAGGTGAAAATTGGAACGAAATATGGCAAGAAAACAAATCTGGGCCTATTTATTCCACTGAATAAGAGGGTAATCCTTTAACTTAGATGAGGCAGATGGAGAGAAATAAGGAAAGCAGGAGCGGCAAAGAAATGGAGAGAGCAACAATGAGGGGATCGAGAGTGAGCTGTGTGTTTATTCAGTCGCATTGTGCATCTGTATTCTTCTAATGTTCCTCCTTTGGAATCACTTTTATTCAGATCCTAGACCCAGGAGACCATCTCATGGAAGAGTAGCGGGGAGGGGTGCATGGATAGATGATGTGTGGATGGCGAGAGGTTGGGGGAGCAAGAGGATATACTCTCATTTAAACTTTATTATTTGCTCAAGATGATGATTTGATGGGGAAGCAATGATGTGTGTGAGATTAGGACATTAGATTTCTGTGGCTTACTTTTATGCATACAAGTTTGATTAGATTTTGTTCTTGTGAGTTTTGTGTGATTATTTTGGATAACCCCATTGTGCAGAGGTTTGATTAGATACAGTATCTAGTGTGCCGCATGGTGGGGGATTTTACCTCACTGCTCTGTTTTTACATTTTGAGGCCTGTTATCTCCGAAGAACAAAAAGGTTTGTTGAATGCAACTTGGAATTTTTTCTTTTTTTTTTTATCTCTTTAGAACCTAAGTCTAATCTACAGTCTGGTCTCCTGGGTCTAGGATCTGTATGTGTAAACAAGTACAGAAATACAGAAGTGTGATCATAGTGTCAAATACAAAAGGAGATATCCTCAAGCTATCAGAGGAAAGAGCAACAAAGCTGTTTCATATACATTTCTTACCACCTCATACATGAACAAATATCTACTAGAAAATTAGTGGAAATTACCTGAGAAATCAATGAGTAATATTGTAGCTGTTGGATAAAGTTGAATGTAGTTAGTTTCATATCAGTTATCAACATACAAATAGTAATAAACAGTTAAACCATTGCCAAGCCACTGTCATCTCCACTGTTTTGAGCATGTTCAGTCCCAGGTTGCTGCGATCGCACAACAGGGCCAGCTGTTCAACCTCCTGTCTGTAGGCCAACTCGTCACCATCTCGGTTGAGACCGACTAAGTAGTGATTGTCAGCTTGATACTGTGGTTTCCGTTAAACTGTAATGGTGTGCAGCGGTGTCACCATATCAAAACATCAGAAGTCGGAGCTTTATTATCCCCAAAGGGCAAATTGTTCTACAGCCAGTAGTACACATCAACATGCACAAGCAGAAAGAAACAATCAACACACAGTGGAGTTTATCATGAACAAAACAATGAAAGTGGTATCTGAAATATAACCAGTAGAAAGGATAGTAGAACTGTTTTTTAAAAAATTCTCTGAAACAGAATGCAAATATTGGCATTGTGGCTGCTGCTTCCATTGCTGAAATGACCATAAGCAATGTAGTGACATGTGGTCACCTCCTCCAGATATAAGAATGTATCTATCCTATTATCTCTCTTCCCCCCGAGATCCCTCACTCTGTCTTCCCCTTCTATCTCATCCAATCACTTTCTCTGTCTCCACCTTCCTCAACAGTTCCAATTCAATGTTTGGATGACGTGGTAAAGAACAACCGCCCAGTTCCTCAGGAGTCAGTGTCTCGTCCCCCCAGTGCGCCCCCACTCCCATCATGCTCCGGCCGCCCGTGTCCCCCAGTCGGCAGCCCATCGGGTACCCTGCTGCCGGACAGTCTGAAAGAGGACTGCTGGTACAATGGGCCCTGGCCATCCCAGAGCTGTTCAGGAGAGGGTGGGGGTGGGGGCGACTCCTGATCTGGCGGCC